AATAGTTGTCCTTTATTTAAATAACTTTATATTATTTTTCAAAACTCGAAATCTTTGGTTACATGCATATTGTATAATTCTTAAAGTGTTTATGTGTTTATATGTTTTTTACTTTTTACATTTTTTAAACCTTTTTACTTAAACTACATACATGTTAATTATTATGTTCTTGTGTGAAAAGCAAAAACTTAATTATTTATTTACTATAGATGATAATCGTTTTTACACACAATGGAACAAGAACCAAACCAATTATCTTTTGGAATGGTTTGCTTCTTTTTTGAATGACAAAGAACGTGAATGGCCAGTGGCCGTATTCTCATCTCTCCGTTAAGCTTAACGGAGCATTTGTCAAAAAGTTCTTTTTAACTATATTAATAAAAAAAAAATTACAAAAAAAATAATTTTTTAAATAAAATTGTTTTATTCTAGTCTTATTTTTGTTTAAACAAATTTAAATAAAGTTTTTGTCATTTCTTTACTTAGAAATGTTGTAATGAAATTTTTGACAAACGCTCCGTTAAGCTAAACGGAGAGATGAGAATACGGCTGCAGGTAACTTAAATGTTAATTGGTTATCATCCATTTAATATTATCAAAAGATTTTTAAAAACTCTGTTACCTTCGGTTTAATTAATTTAATGTTCATTTGATTAAATTGTTTAATTTTTTTTAAGGGTATACTAGACTAAAATGTAGAAATAGTATGTTTAGTAAGCTTATAACAGTTTTTCCGTAATCTACTCCCTCATTAGATACTTTTAAAAAATTATTCAACATTTCATTGTCAAATTATAAGATCGCAAAAATGTTGATTTTTGAAAATTAGTTTTCTACTAAAAGAAGATTGCCCATCAAAAAAAAAATATATTATTTTATAAGGTTAATTTTAAAAAGTTTTTTATTAAGTTTTAACAATATTTCTATTATCTATAACCAGATGGTATTATGTAAAACTATTTTACTCTTAGATCAAGGCGAAAGACCATTTGATTACGGCAGAGTTCGAACAAAACTGACAAACGAGCGACTGAAGATAAGAAGCGCAAAGATGAAATCGGAGAATTCAGCAAGAGAGCTCATTAATGCTATGAATCTGTAGTCAAAAAAAAAATATATAATTTTTTCATGAATGCTAAGTTTTTTTCTATTTTATAATTTTATAATTTTTATTTCTATGCAAGATTCATTTTTCCGTCTGTAAAGGTCCGGCTTCCTTATATCTGGAAAAAAAAAAAAAAAAATGTATGACGGTATGTCGATCTTGAAATAATGTCAATCTTGAAATAAAAGTATTGAAATATAAGTTTTACGCACTGAAAATGTGGGCTTATATCTTAAATGAATATAAGTATTCAATGCGGTAGTGGTGTAGTGGTAGAGCGCTCGCTTCATAAATGAGTGGTTCTGAGTTCGATCCCCACCACGTCCCTGGTAGTACCGCGCTCAACTCGTTTCTCCGCGCAGCAGCCTTGTTCGTCAAGGTTCGTGTTTCGGAGTTATAGAGTTGAGAGAGGGGTTTAGCCATAAAATAAGTAGCCTCCTCGTCTGTAGTGGCCTTCTCGGCCTTGAGGAGGTGAATTAAAATAAAAAAAAAAAAAAAAAAAAAAAAAGTCATAAGACGATTTAGCATTACGGGATGATTTCCAAAATTGCTGACACCTTGCCGAAATATAATTCTAATGTTTTCTTAAATTTTATTTAAGAAACAAAATTTAAGATGTCAAAGCTTAGAGACAACCAGCTTTGCTTTTTATTTTTATTTAGAAATATAGTCAATATTGAGCTAAAAATACCGGTAGTTTACATACTGTTATGAAACCTTGGTTTTTAAACTTAATGGTATCTATAGTAAATCCAACTATATATTAACTATATATTATAAAATAACTAGTAAATTGCAGGATTGACGACACCGGAGGTGCCGTCAATCCTGCGAGGATTGGTTGTTCCTGTCGTTGTACCCCCTGGAGGTCCTGGGAGGTCGTTGTTCCTGTCGTTGTACCCCTTTTTTTTTTAAGAACCTATATCTTTTTTTTAGAAATTAATCTAGAAATGAATCTCAAAACAAGTGTCGTCGACCCTAAATTGTTTAATGAATGTTTATATAATCTAAACAATTTTCAAATTATATCTTTTTCAATGGTCTTTTTTTCTTATACCCATTCTCCCGATGTCATAAAATTAGGTCCACTTTTTTTTAAAATAAAAAAATAATAGCCATCTAGTTTTTTTCGTAGTGTGATAAGCGTTATTATAAAACTTTATAAGCAAATTATAATAATGTTATTAAAACTAAAATAAAAAGTAAATAAAACTCTATAAAGTGACGCTGTTTTTTCATGAACCCTCCGCTCGATCCTTTTTGTCATTTTAATCTCTATACGTAACACGTTAACATGTAATACTATATTTAACACAGCAGGTTGTTTGAAAACGCAAGCGAGGTTGTAAAAAGCGCAAAGGGACTAGGGAAATGCAAAGAATGTTGTTTAAAAGT